GTCCCGATACACCAAGGTGTTGTGGGTTCGATCTCCAATCAGGGCACATACAAGAATCAACCAAATTAATGCATAAATAAGTAGAACAATAAATTACTATCTGTCTGTCTTTCTCTCTCCTTTCCTCTTTCTAAGCATGTCCACGGGTGAGGATTGAAGAACAAAACAAACGTATCTTCAGAGGAGGATTAAAAAAACAACCCTGGCCCTGGCCAGTTTTGCTCAGTGGTTAGAGCGTTGGCCTGCGGACCAGAGTCCCGGGTTCAATTCCTGCTAAGGGCACATATCTCGGTTGCAGATTGTCCTCACCCAGGTTGGGGTCAAGTGGGTGGCAACCACATCGATGTTCCCCTCTCTCTCTCTTTCTCCCTCTCTCCCTCATGCTCTATCTGAAAATAAATGCAAAAATGTCCTCAAGTGAGGATTAAAAAAACCCTGTACAGTATATATTTCTAGGATATATATTTTGGAAATGTTGAGTCCTTATTGATTGTATTAATTTTTATGTTTTTTAATTGATTTTTTTTTTAGAGACAGAAAAAAGGAGAGAAAGGTAAGAAACATTGATGTGAGAGAGAAATGTAGATCAGTTGCCTCCTGCATGCCCCCTACTGGGAATCGAGCCTGCAACATGGGCATGTGCCCTGACTGGGAATCGAACTGGTACTTCTCAGTCCGTGGGACAATGCTCAATCCACAGCCACACTGGCCGGACTGGTTGTGTTTATTTATACTTCCTTTCAAAATGAATAAGACTTCACATTGCTTCATATCCTCACTGACACTTGGTATTGTCAGATTAAGAAATATTTTTAAATTATTTTTCTTTATTGATTTTAGGGAGAGAGGAGGGGAGAGGGAGAGAGAGAGAGAGAAACATCGATGAGAGAGAATATCAATGGGCTACCTCCAGCACATCCCCTACCAGGGATCGGCCTGCAACCTGGGCATGTGCCTTGACCAGGAGCTGAACTGGAGACCTCTTGGTGCAGGGGTCGACGCCCATGAGCCACACCGGCTGGGCTCAGATTTACCTTTTTGGTTAATCTGATGGGGCTGAAGCGGTGTCATATTGTGGGTTTCATTAACATCCTCTGGCTGTCAGTGAGGTGGAGCTCTACTTTTCCTGTTCACATCCTTTGGGCTAAGAGGGAAAGAAAGAAGCAGTTGAGTTTCACAGTGAAGTGGAGGTGCTGATAGGACACCTTGGAGATGTTCAGAAAACATTTCAAAATTTACATTTATTATCCTCCATAGTGTCAGAGAGATCAGAAATGGTGAGAGAGAGAGGGGAATCATTTTCACTTAAAAAAAAAAAATTAAATGTATTGGGGTGACATTGGTCAATTGGATCATTTTCACTTTTTAGTTATATCTGTTCAGAAAAGCACAAATTATTTTCCTCTAAGACAGTGTTTCTGACACTTCAGCCATTCATGTACCATATTGGGATTTTTGTAGTATTTGTGCTTTCTTTTTTAAAAATCCTCACCCAAGGATATGTTTTTACTGTTTTTCTGAGAGAGAGGGAGAGAGACGGGAACATCCATGTGAGAAAGAAACATCGATCAGTTGCTTCCCATATGTGCCATGGACAGGGATGGAACCCACAACCTAGTTCCTGACCAGGGATCCAACCTGCAACCTTCTGGTGTGCAGGACGACGCTCCAACCAACTGTGCCACCGGCCAGGGCAGCATTGGTGCTCTTTTATTTAATATGTATATATTTACTGACTTCTTGTACATTCGGATCCTCCCCCTTGCTGAAATAGATGCCTCCTCTGTGCTTCTAAGGTAACCTGTACCCAAAGCCCGCCTTTATCAGTATCATTAAACTGCCTCTGCTGGAGACCGTGAGCCCTGATGACCCAGTTAATTAGCTCCTTCATGTAGCCCACAAATGTGCCGCAAACACTGTGCAGATAGTTACTGGGAATGTAGTTGTGATCAAAACAGACATATTCCTACCTTTACCGAAGTCCAGCTGAGAAGAAACCTTTACATCTATAATGTGTTTAATATTTTATTGCTGCTCTATTATGTAAAACTATTTACTAATTAATAATCATATAGTAATTATAAGCACTTTGGAGAAATGTGCACATTATTATGAAACAGTTTATGAGATAGGTATAAGGAGATGGGTTATCTCAGGACCTGACTGGCTGAGTACTTGGATGGGATACTTATTTTATTTGAAACTTTCAAGCATCTAACAATGTCTGGCACTTAATAAGAAACGTTTACTGAGTAAACTCTAGACTAAGATGAGTTACTTTATAACAATCTTTGCAAACAGAATTATAAAAAACAGATTTACTTCCTCCTTTGAGTATTCTAGTTATGAATGTTGAAATTACTCCTAATGTTAAAACTATTTTTTTGGTGATATGATCCTGGCTTACTATCTTGGTACATTTTTTCTTAAAGTTAACAAATATCACGCTTATATAAGCCCCCTCCTCCCCAAAACATGTTTTAGAAAATAATATCATTTTTATATAGAAGCATGTCATTTTTCCATTGAGATTTTGTTCTTACTTGTGTTGAAATGGAATGAGATTGATTGTTACACCTGTAGCTCATTGTGATATACGGTTTTTGTTTCTTTGTACAAATGGATAACTGGCACAGGAATGATAAGATCTAGGCCAGTGAACATCAGGCAACCAACCATCAACTGAGTTTATAAAAGAGATGAGGCCACTGAAAACCAGGGTAACCAGCTTGGAAAATGAGGCATGTGATTAGGAAGAGACCTGATTCCTCAGCCTTCCAGAAGTTAGGAGAAAGGGTTTTGTTTTTGTTTTTTAATCCTCACCAGGAGATATTTAGAGAAAGAAGAAGGGAGGAAGGGAAGGACGGAGGGAGGGGGGGGGAGAGAGAGAGAGAAGCATTGATATGAGAGAGAAACATCAGTCAACCCATTATCTCCTGTATGTGCTCCAACCAGGGATTGAAACCACAACCTGGGTATGTGCCCCAATGAGAACCGAACCCACAACCTTTTGGTGTATGGGAAGATGCTCCAACCAACTGAGCCACCTGGTCAGGGCAGGAGAAAGGTTTTTTGTTTGTTTGTTTATTTAAAAAAGGATATAATTTTGTTTCACTTGTTAAAACTGGTGATAGAAAAACACATACGTGTTATAACCTTTTATCCAGAATGTAAATTAAGCTCTTATGGCATATTATATTTTCTTACCCACAGAATATGTCATCTGTTAGGGGACTATCTGTAGATATTAGTATTTCAGAGAATGATCTGTTTCTATTCTATTAATCGAGTGAAGGGCTTATTGTAAGCAGAATATTTGTGGTAAATTGATGTAAGTCAGCTATTAATGTAGCAGACAATAATACAGTAAATCCTCGATTTTGTGGACCTCAATTTAACACACTTTGGATTTAATGGACAAAATTTTCTATTCATGTCATATGTGAAAATTAACACCCTGTTAATTTTTAAATGCTTTTAACCAAGATTTGCTTATAATTAAATTAACAGGTTATTTTCTGTTATTAAATCACTATTTTTAACACATTTTAGCAATTAGGCCGTATGTTGGGAAAAAACACTAGTACTTTTGCTGACCTAAATAAATATTACATATCTACAACTACAGCCTGTGTATTTAAATCCGAGAGTCACCGCTCGTAAACAGTGTTCGGGGAATGATTAGCACGTGATCACACCGCATTGCACGAGGTCATTGGTTCTGTTGTCACCCGGTGTGACTTTCTTTCTGCAGCAGCTTTAACTTGAGCCACCAACGTTTCTACGTGCAAAGCCACGCCCCAGCCTGTGCCTGTGGTTACTCCAGGTGACTGGTGAATGCACCCATTTACTAGACCTATTAGTATACATTTAAAATTGATATCATATATATTAGCAGACTTTCGGCTTTAACAGACACTCCCTCGCCCAAATTAGTTCATTATGTCGAGGTTTTACTGTAATAGAACTTCTATATCCCCCTTTTACTGGATTTATGATGAGGGGCAGTGCTGATAATAGAAGGAGGCAGAGTCAGGATGGCAGTCATAAAATCAGATTAGCCTTGTCACCCTGGGCCGGTCACTTAACCTTTCCAAACCTTCATGGACACAAGTGATGAATAACAGTATCTACCTCAGAGGACTATAAAGTAAATAATTGTTATCGAAGAGCAAATGAGATACAGTGCTTTTGTTAAATAGAAAGATGCTATAGAAATGTGACATTACTATTGTTTGTTGTTCTTTTATTGGCTTTTATGTTTAACTTATTATTAATTGATAACCGTCACAGAAATGATAAGAGTTAGGCTGGTGAGCATCAGGCAACCAACCATCAACTGAATTTATAAAAGAGATGATTCTGGTATATCTGTTATTCACTCTGTTATTAAAGATGTGTTTTGGCCTGGCTGGTGTGGCCAAGTGGTTGAGCATTGACCCATGCACCAAGTGGTCGCTGGCTCGATTCCTAGTCAGGGCACATGCCCAGGTTGTGGGCCTGATCCCCATTGGGGGGCATGCAGGAGGCGGCCAACCAGTGTTCTCTCCCATCGATGTTTCTCTCTCTCTCCCTTTCCCTTCCTCTCTCTCTAAAAATCAATAAAGAAAAAAAAATTTTTTTAAATGTGTTGTATAGCAAGCAGTCTATCTCTGGGAATTAGTTTCAAATTTCTTTTCTCTGATTAGATAAAGAACTGCCAAGTTGTCTCTAATAGTGTTGGAATGCCCTAGCCCTACATAAACTCCTAGGTATTTAAAAATACCATATTTAAAATGACCTGAAATTAAAAGAAGCACTTGAATCTTAGAGATGAAATTTCCACAGGGCACAGAGCAAATGTCCAAGATAGATAAAGGTCCCTTGGTTAAGTTTCAATACAACGTTGACCTTTTTACAAAAGCTTGATGATGCTGAAGATTTTTATACCCAGACACCAGATTTGTTTTTGTTTTGTTTTGTTAAGGAAATACTGAATTCTATTCATTCTTTCCCTACAGTGCCTCCAAAGCCATTACATCTGCAGAATTCACCTCTGTCTGGTATACACCAAATCCCTAAGCATAAAGCTTTATCTAGTGCAGCACCCAGGATGGAGGAAGTTAAACCTGCCTCTACTTCTTGTGTGTCAAAAGAAAAATCCAGTAAAATATCAGATCTCATCAGTCGCTTTGAAGGAGGCAGGTAAGAGCTCATTCATAACGGGAGAAGGCAGAGGGGAGATGAAAACTGAATTTTGGAAAAGATGATAGAGTCCTAAGTTTTCCAAATCAAACATAACATCTTCTTCCATTGGGTTTGGTAGGCTTTTAGAAAGAGTTCATTTTAAAAGTGTTTAATCTTGCCCTAATATAAGTTGTCATTTACTGTTCGTTATCTACGTGCAGCTCTGTGCCAGCAGCTTCTTCCTCAGGCTGTGTGCTGTGTAGGTCTGTGGGTATGCTCTCTCATTGCCTCTGTGTCTGTGTGTGCCCTTGGGGTCATTGTGTTGGTCGCTGGGTGCCTGGGTTACAAAGGCAGGAAGTTGTCTCTATCTCTGCTTCTCGCTTTGTGTGCTCGTGCATGGGACTCCAGTGGGCCTGTTCCATCTCTGCGGCTTCTTTCTGACCCACTTTATTTGATGTGGTTTTCAATATCCACTTGGTATCTGCTGTGTCCCTCCCCACATCCCTGTACTATAGAGTAGGCGTTGCAAAGAGAGATTGTCAATGGCAAAATGCATGCTAAATTTCAGTCTTGTATTTATTAGATATAGTTTTATATTCTTCAGTCCTAATGTTTCCAGAAAGGTAGGTGGGATACTGTTTGTTCCTCACTTAAAGATCAAAGCAAACTCACCTAAGCTGCTTTTCTACTTATATGACCCTCAGTCATTTCTTCTTAGAATTCCCGTCACTGACAAATAGAGTTTCTGAAAAATTTTATCAGAAGCATTTTATTATTATGTTACCAAAAGTCTGTATATAATTTAACAGAATATAAATAAATTTACTCTCATCCTTGAGGCCACATATTATAATTAATTCCAGTGTAATACTGGGGAATGATTTCCCATTAGGTGGTTTTATAATTTGCCGGATTTATTGTTATATATGCAATGAACCAAAGCTTGGAGATGCTTTCCAAATCTTCTGGAAATTGTGACCAAGTAAAAAACAACAGTGTCTGTTATTTAAAATGTTACTATATTTAGTAACAAGTTCTGGAGAAAATTAGTTCAGAAGCCTGTCTTCAATTTTCATTCCCAATCAATTGTGGGAACTTGAGTCATGAATATTTAAACATCAACACCTCCCCCTCTGAAGTAAGATTTTTAATAGCTTTGCTATCTGAAATTACAGTCATCTTTACTAGAATATTTTCATTCCACTTAAAGTTTTTTGTCTCAGGACAAGCTGATTTAGTTGCACAGAGAGTGACCCCTATGCTTGCGGGTTTCAGGGCCGTGTCCATGTCTGTGTAATATAACGAGGCCCTGGAGCCTGGCCCCTGCATGGGTCAGTGTTCCGAGGACCGAGTCCTCTGAAACTCAGTTTGCTGAGCCACTCTGACCTCCTCTCCGCACACAGTTTTCCCACTTATTGACACCCATCTTCTTCTCCTCTTGCAGACCTCACAGATTCAAAGTCATATGTTGATGCAAAGCTGGAAGGTTGGCCCTAAGCAGAGATGTGCTGTGGTTTATGACATGTTAAGGAAACTTGTTGTACGGGAAGCTAGGATGTCATGTGAGCATTTTGGCAAATCTGGTGAAGGACTGTTACCTGTGACCAAGTTCACTGCCAATGCAAAAAATAATTATATGTTCTTAGTGAGGTGTTATGAGTAGAAACTGACCCTAAAAGTGTCTGAAGGGCTTAAACACTTGGTCTGTAGGGCTTGAATGGGAAGTTTGTTTTTCCTGGCGAGTGCTGTCCATGTGCCTGCAGTATAATAACTGGTTATGCCCAGTTATTACAGCGTAAACCAGCACTTTGTGCAATAGAAGGGTATTCGGCAGGCTGTGAGTTAGTTACCACAGTAGACTGACAAGAAGAACCAGTGTCGGTTACAGTAGTGTCATAGGAGACCATAGTGCACTCATTAAGACCTTACCCATGTAGCATAGTTTTGCTCTTTGCAATAATCTAGGTAACTATTTCATTAAGATGAGTGACTTAGAGGATATATTTGAAGCAAGTGAAATTTCATTTTGTACTGTGGTTTCTTTATGTATATGTGTGGATGGATGGATAGATAGATAGATAGATAGATAGATAGATAGATAGATAGATATGTGTGTGTGTGTGTAGGTCTATATGTATACACACATATTTTAATTTTGTTTTGTGAGTAAGAGAAACTAGTCTTTTAACCTATGAAAGACTTCAGGATTTTAGAAATAAATAAGTAACATTTTCCTCAAAACCAAACATCGGTTTTTCCCAAGGACACTACTAAGCCAATTGCTTTTCTCCAAAGCAACAGGAATCTCCTGTGTACAGGTTCAACCATTGCTTTTACCAACCTTTCCACCAACACCTACCTCATCCCTAACGATTCCTTCTACATCCCACTGGTGTCACTTATAGGAGATCCCTGCCTGTCCGAAGCAGTCCTTTCCAGAAACTACGCTAGCCAAGGTTTGTTACAGAGGATCTTTGAGGGTCTTTCTTCTGGGTTGCTGGGTGCTGATATTGCCAGACAAAGGAGGACAGTTTGATTCAGTTCTCCAAGGACTGATTAGGACATTATCTTGGTCAAGGATATACTGTAGTAGAAGGCAACTATCATTGATGGAGTGTGTCACCTTTATTTATTTTGATAGCCTCCAACTTTTGCACATATGACATTTTCCCCTACCAATTGTTTCCTTCCTGTAAAGCTGAACTTGACTATGTCTTTTTTCTTCCCTTAATTAGTTTCCTGCTGTCAGTTGCTATGCCCTGTTCCATCCTCCAGGCAGCTCAGCAGTGTCTGGGAGAAGTGGACTGAGGCGCTGGTGACACCATCCAGCACTGTCCCTTACTGCTGTGCCCCCACCTCCTCTACTAGGACCGCTTTCCATGAGGGGAGTGCGAGCCCTGGGCTGTCTTCCCACGGTTGTGTGCAGCCTACTCACCTGCCTCGCACTCCTTCCTCGCGGTCCAGTGCATTAATTATCATATGGGGTTCAGACTGTGGCATGTAGCTCTGGCTGGTTTGGCTCAGCACAGACCAAAGGGTTTCGGGTTCAGTTCCAGTCAGGGCATGTACCTGGGTAGCAGGTTCAATCCCTGGCCCCCGTCAGGATAGTGTGGGAGGCAACAATCAATGTATCTCTCTTACATCAATGTTTCTCTTCCTCCCTCCCTCCCTCCCTCCCTCCCTCCCTCCCTCCTTCCCACTCTCTCTAAAAATCAATGGAAACATACCCTGGGGTGAGGATTAACAACAACAACAAAACCACTTTAAAAAAAAAAAAGACCATTGGATTTAGCATCAGGCTTCATGGTTTGAACTCTGGCCTTATCATTTGTTAGCCATGTGACATTGCCACATAATGTAAGTTTCTAAGCCTGGATTTATGGGATCCCTATTTTGGAAATATTATGGATGAAACAAGATAACCATTGTGAAGGGCTTGGTGTAGTTTCTGGCACTTAACAAATGCTCGCTGCTAATATTGAATTAGTGCCATGATCATCATCACAACCACAGTTATTTATTAGTCATCGAGTATTTACTGAGCACTTTTCATATGGCAAGTGCTATGTTGAGAAGTGGGGATAAAGCAGAGAATAAGAGAGGTACATTCTGCACCCTCTCAGAGTATCAGTCTAAATTTATCTTTATTCCTCATTAGGTCATAGGAATCTCTACGAGACTGCAGCCCAGAATTGTTCCTTCCTGGAACCCTAGATTAAAACGCTATACAAACATTTCCATAGGAACCTTGTCATCTATTGGCAGTTAAGGTCCATATACTATTGTGGTTCTGTATGATGTTAAGTAATAATAAGGGCTCTAAAGAAAATGCAAATAAGACGTGTAGCTAGTGGTGGAGTGTGCTGTCAGAGAGAGAACAGTCTGGGAGTGGCATCTGAGCAGAAACCCGAATGATGGGCAGGAGTAAGCCACTCCAGTGTCCTGGGGAAGGTTGTCCTGAGCAGAGGGAACAGCAGCTCAGAGGTCCGTGATGTGTGTGTTTGCTTATTGGGAGTTGGGGGCTGGGGGGCAGCAAGGAGACAGGTATGACAAGAGCACTGTGAGTGAAGAGAAATGGAATTTAATGAGGCCAGGCTAGCAGAGGATACAGAATCTCGCAGGCCAAGGTCAGGATGCCAGGTTACCTTAAAGTGTGTGGGGAACCCGCACAGAGTTTGATCTCTGCGGCCGACTTGGAGAGACTAGATGGGAGGGGATCAGGCGTGGAAGCAGAGATCACTTAGGAGACTGTGGCAGCATGTATAGTCGAGTTTTTGAGAATGTGTGTTCCACTTTCCAAACAAAAATAACTTTTGGTTTCTAACCTCTCTATACATCGAGGGCTGACTATATTTGTTTTTAAAATGTTAAGAAAGTAAAAATCTTGGGAAAAAATGGTTTTATTTAATATACATATTTCTCATCTCTGAGTCTCTACTGATTAGCAATATTGATAAGCAACACAAGGCAATCTTTCAGACCTTATAAAGTTCAGGCCCAGCGTCTTTATTGAAATGTGTCTGTAAGTGCAGATAGCATTGCAAGGGGCTGAAAACTGCACTGAAATATTCTCAGCTGTTTCTGAAACCATCGGAGGAAGGGAAATGTCTTTCCTAAAGATCCCCGTTCAGCTGGAATAAACTAGTTTTTTTTCTAGAGCTTGTCCGTACCAGTGTTTTCACACTTCCTCTGCCTTTTCTCTTTTAGCACATTATCAAATTACGGTGATTTAAAGAAAAATCCAGCTATGAACCTGAATGCTCCCAGAATCCCGGGAAGGCATGGATTGACCACCACACCTCAGCAAACACTCTTCTCCCAGCACCCGCCCCAGAGGCAGGGAAATGATCCCAAACCAACTCAGGGTGTACAGACTTGTGTGGCTAATGGTGTAATGGAGGCACAACACCAGGTGGAAGGTGAGGAGGATAAAGTGGCCACTATTAGCTCAGATACTCCTATGACTCCTAGTCAGACCTCTGAACCCTTGCTTGATATGAACTTAGTGAATGGAGCAAGGGACGAAAGTACCACGGGCCCTGCCTCACCCACGACAAATGACAGTGATGGAAATGCTTCTGACAGTAGCTGCAGGACTCCAAGTGTGGACCCAGCCCTCCCCCTGGAAGAAGGAAGGGCGGACACAGAAGCCCAGGGCCCAGAAGGGGGAAATGAAGAAAGCCCCCAGGAACTGCAACAGCTGGAGCAGCACCATGAGATGAAGGTAAAGTACGAGCGGCTCATAAGCAGGAGGGAGCACTGCTCATTGCACTGCTGCTGTGGAACAGCTTTGCTTATGGGTGTTTCCCCTACTCTCTGTAGGTTCTGTTGGCCTCCTGTGATTTCAGGAGTCAGAACAGGGTGAAGACTTTGATAGAGGAAAACTACAATCATTGCTTTTATTTACATAGGAAGACAGTGTTCTTTGTTGCTTGAGGTGTTGGGACTGCATCCCTAAGATCTAAGGTCTAAGCAAGAGGAAATTGCATAATCTTTGCTTTTCAGACATTTCTAATCTAGTAAAACAAATGGACTTTGAAGATAAACTTATACTAGCACATGTTTTTTATAAGGACACGAATATGGAAGTATTCACAAATTACTCAATAACTATAACTCTTTCCAGGCTTCTAATCTTTTTTTAAACAACGTTCTAATTAATATGCAATTTTATAATTAGAAAGCTCTCTAATAATCATCTTAGCCAGCAATTCATCTTTAGAAGCAGAAATAGTCCCAGAAAGCCAAAGTGATTTTCCAGGGTTACAATAATAGCTGAGACCACCCCCTCCCTGTGCCCCCCACCATCCCCTCTCCGTGCCCTGGTACCCAGGCCAGTGTTATATCCCTAGGCCAGAAGTCACAAACTCAAATGCCAAAACGTGGGGCATGTCCATGAATGCAGCAGCCATGAGTAATAGCCTGGAGGGAGGTAAGACTGTGGCAGACTGGAACCTTTCTGAAGAGGGCAGTGATCCAGGGAACCACCTAAACGGCAGCTCTGCCCACGTGCTAACAAAGAGCTGATCTGGGTGAGACACGTTCATGATGTACCTGTGCTGCAGCAGAAACTTCGATGCAAGTCCAGTGATGAGACCATTGCATTTGTATTATATATTCATGTCAGTATAGTGATTTGGAAATCTTAATAAATAGTGGCGTTTACAAAGTACTTGGAATTTCTTCGATCAAAGGTGCAATATAAGCATTGTTATAGATGCTGGAATCGAAAATTGTTTACATCTCTAAAGATGAGAAAAAAAGTTTGCACTGCTTAGTCTCTCTTATCAGTTTTAAATAACAGTCTATATAGGAGAGTTGAGAATTGAACATTTGACAATTATAGGAAAATTTGTGTGACAAATCCAAGCCCTAAATCTATGTACTTTTTTTTTTTTTTATGGTGCTGTGTTTTAACTGGCATTAACATAGGCAGAAATTCAAAAGGACTGATACTAAAATATTAGAGTAAAAAGTGATTGATTGATGTATTTAGAACTTTAAAGTGAAATCAACCTTATGGTACAATTTTCACTATCCCTGGAAAAAAAAAAAAGAAAATTCTAAAAAAGAGCCACTGGTATATTTTCTTGAAGTTAAGGGATGAATTTTAAATGCTGACTTTCAAGCAGAGAAAGTTCAAAGAAGGAAGTGGGTGAGAAAAAGTGAGTCATCCTTGGTAACATCTGAAATATTAAAGAAACAGGACATTGCAAAGTGAGTCTCTTAACATCTTGACAGAGTGTAAGTTTTAGTGTCTCTCTGCTTGAGCCATGGTGATTGGAAGAGAAGGTTGAACCAAGAAACTCAAAACTCAGACATCTGTCCTTTTGCCATTGGGATGATGCCACCAGCAAGTATTTATAAAACAGTAAGAGCCATTCTTATTATGGGATATATTTTAGTTGGTAATGATGCTGTGGTTGCTGGATACTACCCCCCCACCCCCACCCCGGTCATATATTAGTATATATACATTTTCAGAGATAAGTCTTATTTGGTTTGAGAGAGACTTTATTAAACTAGTGAAGTCTGGAATAGTACAGCTGGTCCTTCTCCTAAATGGGAATTTAAATAGTGGAGGGCACATGCTCTGTGTGGGAAGAAAAAATGTGTTTTCTCTGCAGAGCTATTGATCTGAACACCACATGTGTCTCCCATCTGAAAAGGAGTATTAGGATTTAGTTTCAAATGGTGACAATGTGTCCTCCTCTGCTATTCTGAGGCTTGTTGCATTGCCTTCGCTTGTTCCAAACTGCAAACCTAAATGCTAGTAGTGTTAAGATGGTAAATGTTATATTATGTACATTTTACCTCAATTAAATATAAAAAAAAGAAATCTTATAAAATAAAAAATTTAGCAGTATATAGTTATTGGCACCAGGAAATCTTGACACTGCTTCTGGCTTGTCCACTAACAGTACGACATTCAACAAGCCAGTTTTTTGTGCCTTTATTTAAAGGATATAAACCGGTATGACCGGAAGCCCTTTTCAGTGATAGCATCATAATTCCGCGCTGTTACGTGTAGGGATGTTCCTTGGTTAGCACAGCCCCCCAGACTGCCAGCGGCTGCTGCTGCTGCTTTTTTAAAAATATGTTTTTATTGATTTTTTCAGAGACAGAGAGAGACATCAATTTGTTGTTCTACTTATTTATGCATTATTGGTTACCTCCTGTATGTGCCCTGACCAGGGATCAAACCCGCAACTTTGGTGTATTGGGATGATACTCTAACCAACTGAGCTACCCAGCCAGGGCTATTGAGGATAATTTTTTATTGAATTTTAGATAGAGTGGAAGGGAGGGAGGGAGGGAGAGAGAAAAACATTGATGTAAGAGAGAAACACTGATTGGTTGCCTCCCACACGACCCAGACCAGGCTAGGGACCAAACCTGCCACCCTTTGGCCCATGGGCCAACACTCTAACTACAGAGCCAAACTGGCCAGGGCATTAAAAAAAAATCAATGTTTATTTCCTGGTTATTTCTGGTTTCTTAAATACCATTTTAATATATTATTACATAAGCCTTGAGAGCTTATAACTTTTGAACATACTCAAATAAAAATTAAGAAGATACTCATCTCCTAGGGAAAAGAATAACAGAATCAAATTCAGAAGTAAATTGTGAATAAAAAGCCAGGGCTTTAATTCAAATCACCTCACTTTTCCTCTTTTTCTGTCAGTTTCCCCCCACTGAGTTTCATGCTAATTCTTAACATTATTGATTAATTGCACAGGCCATAATGTGAGCTGTCAAAGTTTCCTGGGAGTGAAAATAATCTTTATCTTGGTTACCCATTTCTTATGATGGGCAACAGGTTTGGTTTTGGTTTTGGTAAAGCTTTAAATGTCCTTCAGTTCACTTCTCGAAGAGAAGGAGGACAACTGTTGAGGTCTTGTTAGATGTGAAGACATAGCCAGTCACTCCTTAACTAGTTCTTCTCTTGCCAAACCAGCCGAATTCCAAGCAAGTGAAAGCAGGTCCAAGAGAGTATCCAGCTCCTCTGATCAGCCTCTTGCTGTTGCTATTGTTAGAATAAAAGCCCCAACTAAAGTCGTAAGAGTTTTGAAACAATGTGCAGGAGAACAGAAAAGTTGCCCTCTAACCATGTGGATCATGCACAAAATTCGTGAGGATAGCTTTTCTGTATTACATACAACTGCATGGTGAACTCAGCACCGTCTTTGTTTAGAATGTTGGAAAGGTGTAAGAAAGACATGAACTTCAGAGAGCCTGTACCTGCAAACATCACCTGTGGTTCAGTCTGAAAATTCCATTGTGCCAGGTTCACCCTCCAGGTGCTAAAACAAATGAACAAGCTAAGCCCTGCCCACAAAGTAAACATCGAAATATGGTGAATACACGCTCCTCGGAAACACAGGTGAGAGTTCAGAGGTGCCTGGCGGAGAGCTGGGGGAGGGGCAGGCTGCGGAGGAGCAGTTGCATTGGGCTTGGAGAAAGAGTGGGAGGTTGCTGGGTGGTCCAGAACAGACGGGCAGGAGGGGACGAGTGTGTCTAGGCAGAAGGAGAGTGTGAAGAATGAGTAGAGTCAAGAGAATAGATGCCATATTTAGGGTATTTCTGGCCTCATAATAAGAGACCAGAGCGGTAGAGAAATGAATTGGGGTGGGGGGAGGTGAGGACATAGGAGAGGCTTAAAAAGAAAATCTAAGCTAAGGACAAATTGCAGTGGGTGTTTATTGCCTCAGTTATATTTTTTTCCCGCTGAGAACAATGGAGACCTTTTAAAAAGATTTTTGAAAGTCTAAATAAAAATTAATAATTCTCACAGAAAATCAAGAAAATGCAGCAAAGCATAGAAGGCACACACACACACAAAATCCATATCTCCACCACCCAGGGACCTGCTTTGATGTTTAACATTCCAGCTTGTTTTTCTGAGCAGATTTTTAAAAAATGATATTCAATTGCATAATGTCTGGTCATTCTGCATCCTGTTTTGTTGGATGAAACATAGGTCCCGCCCTCCCCCACCATGTTATTTTAAACTTCCCATAAGCTTAGTACTGTCTGAACTCTGAGACACTTAATAAAGCATGGAAGTGACATGATTTTACACCTGTGGGTTTTAGAAAAATGAGTCAGATAAAAGGAAAAAGCAGATGGAACAGGGTACTTAATAAGCACTGCAGTAGTCCAGGTGTGAGAGGTTCGGCAGAGAGTTAGGACCAGGAAGAGAGATCTGAGGATGACTGGATGTGGGTGATGAGTCATGTTCAACTCCTGGCTTGGGTGAGTGGCAGGTGGTGTACCATATTGAACTACAAGAAAATAAAGAAGGACATATTTGGGGGGCAAAAAAAATAAAAATTTAGACATACTGAATTTGAGGGACTGCTAGGATATTCAGTTGAAGATTTCTAAAACAAAAGTGGAATATTGTGGAGATATTATGGTTTAATGGTTAAGGATGAATGTTTTGATTAAAAAGAAGAGTTCAAATTTCAACTCCACCACTTACCAGCTGGGTGACCTTGGACATGGCATCTTAACATCGTCACTCTCCAGGCCTTGGTTTCCTAACATGTTAATAAAATAATTGAGAGGCAGACAGGAAGGAAAATAATAGTGTTTGGAATGAGGGGAGAGAGTAGAGTTGCTAATTAGGTCAGTTTTGTACTACTGCGTTTACGGCACCCACAAGACATCTCTTCGGAGATATTAACAAAGCAAGTGGACATTTGGATCAGGAAAGGG